TTTTGAGGTGAGGGAATTGTGACAAAGCGTGGAAGCGCCGACGAAGACAAGATGTCTTAGGAGCATTTGTGGCACTCGATCCAAATTAGGTCAAAACGTGGAACCCTGATTGGAGATGTTTGAGGTTAGGCAGCCTGTCGCTGGCTGCATTGAATGTGCATCTGCGACGGCCATCTCATCAAATCTAGTGCATTTATCAACCTAGTCGAAATTTCAGTCATACTGGGTACATATAAGCACAGCAATCATTCCTGCTGCCGATCATTCTCGAAGGACCACTCTCCAATCGTGGAAGCCTCAACTCAAGGTGGAGTGAACAAACTACCCGAACAACTAGGTGGAGTCCAACGAGCCTCAAGAATGAAACAGGCTGGCGTGTGGAAATGTGCTTCGTCTATTCGCGTACTGCATCTTCGAACTACTTTCAAAATGCTTTTAAGAATTTCATTTAGCTAAAATGGGTACATTGTGTTGGAATGTTTAAAACAGCGGTTTTTGCAATGCTTACATCGCGGTTACTATTGGCTATAAACGAGATAATCGATTGCCAATGATAGAAATAACGGTTTATGCAACAGCTTAGTTGAATCTTTGTGGATGAACGCGCCTCAGCCAAAGTGCGATCACCCACAGCAACGATCGACACCACGAAACGCGCAGCTGCTAGTGGGACGTGTTAGAATTTCTCACACCCCGTCAGAAAGTGAAACCTACCTCCTGAATTCAATACAGTCAGATGAAGTCGGTGAACAGGATTACAAATATTTCAGTACATTGGCATTGGGATTAAATATGTTTTTTTGATAAACCTGTGCTACTTGTGTCTCGATGTGACTGTCGGTAGTGGAAATCTCGCAGTTATTAGACCAAGAGCAACTCAGAGATGAATGATGTCTGACTCCAAATACTACACAAACAGCAATAAACTTATTAATTTAGTAACTGATTGTCAATTAAACACCTGAATGACACTAAACCGCAGTCTGACAAAGGCACCAAAGGGCTTATTCGCGCATTGCAACTCTCCATATGTTCGAAAAATAAGTACAGTAGATGCTGACGCATATAAGGTGATAACTGCAGTACCACGGGTTAAGCGATGTAACAAACATAGCTGGCGGATCATGGTGTTATTGTGGCGTCGGTTGCGTCTCTTGTTGGCATCAATCCCAGTCCCAATTAGACTCTTTGAGATTGCAAATGTTTCTAATTGACTAATTTGACATTGCTGTGTTCAGATGAGCGATTAGGCCAAACAAGCGTCATTCCAGGTGCACACTTCTGGGTATGGAATGAACTGCTACCTACGAGCTAAATGCCTGTCTGCCGACGACAAGAAATGACATTTGACCGTCTAATGTAACTGACTTGCTATCAGGCTGCTCACACACAACAGGCATTCCCTACGTATTAGACGCTATCTTTGAATCATCCAGTTCGAATCCAACTACTACTGCATCTCTACAGAAATGTAACTCTGAAATCTGGTTCGCTTTCTTAAATGACTCAGCCTGCTACACATTCATTTGATCAACTACCACACGGAGGACAATACTGCCAGACCATAACAAAGGCGCTACAAGGCGTTTTAATACAGTGTAAATGTCTCTTGTTCACACAAAGCCAAGCAGAACAGAGGGTACAGACACAGGTAAAATGAGCAATGAAAGATCCCGAGGCAATGAT